TGCTGAGCATCTACGGCAAACTAGACAGAAAAATCGTTATTATCCGGTTTCACTTCATTTTAATTCTAGTGGACATAATATTACAGATATGTCTATTTCTGGTGTATGTGTTGTCAATGGCAACGAAAATCAGCTCAGGCGTGTCGAGGAGGAAACTATATTCCGCCTTGGAACTAAAGAACCCCATGGTATTAACAAACAGTTCAACTCATTTGTTGAGCTCACTACCTAAGGCGCGTTATTTGTTCTATTGTGGAATTTTTTGAGATTCTAACTTATAGTTCATGCGCGTTCTTACGTTCCTATGTTCTACCTGTACGTTATAACACTTTCTTCTATGCTATCGATAAAGAGCCATTGCTCGAAACGTCTAGCTATTTAGGACTACGATTACCAAATATTATCTTCTATAGACCTGCAGCGTCAACGGGGAAAAGCTACCTACATTCGAACGTTTTCAAAAAGAGCGCGGCCATGTCTTGTACACGCGCTAGACGTACGTAATTTAAAACTCTGAGTCTGAGCAAGACGCAAAATCACTACATGTACGAGTTCAAAACATGTCATCACCGCAATGCTCGTAGTACTGCTTTTTTTCCATTTCTAGAATGTTACTAATAACTTATTTTGGGTAAGGCTAAATGAAGAATCAACAAATCAGCGATTCACGAATTGTGCAATGACTATTTTTAATTGCTATTTTATTTGCAAGAAATAGCGTTTTTTGTTTTTCAAAAATTAAGAATAAGAATATCCAAGAAATGTCATTCATGCATGCTAACCTCAGTTCTCACACTTAATGATTTACGTTGGTTTAATTCGAATCTAAAACTGTCAATCACAAAATGTTTTCCATCACGGAATGCTCATAGTACGCGAGAGTGGTAGACAAAAGTGTTGGATCAGTGATACTTCTGCTTTCAAATTGGAAGATACAGTACACTAAAGTCAACAAATTCGTGTACGCTATAAACTATTTGTAAACATAAATATTTATGTAAATGACAGAATGAGCGCCGGTGTGCATTGGCGTGTTCATTTCAGCTGTTTCTAATTTCTGTCTGATTGATACTCGTGCGCTTAGCAGGATGAACACAGTGAGTTTATAAATAATAATAATAATAGTAAGTGTAAACATGGGTTTGTGGACTCCAGCGTATTTGTTAGACTTTCTCCAAATTTGTTTTTTTTTTACTGAAAATAAAGTGAAAATAGAAGCTTCACTAAATTTGTACTTATCGAGAAAAGGAAGGTTTTTTAACACCACGACCACTATCCGTGGCAATAATACTATCACGACCACAAACCCATTCTCTCTATTTTATACTAAAGCTAGAGGTTTCTGCTGGCCGATGGAATGACATTGAACCATTTTCAAATGACGTCATTTACGCTCGTCATTGGAATTTATAAATCTTTATAAAAAAATATCAAGGGATTGAGTGTGATCGCGATAGTACCAAATTAGCGATTCTTCATTTTCTTTCAAGTTTGTTAGTGAAACTAAATTACACCAAGTGTTAACTCCCAACTGGCGGTCCCATACGGTAACCCCTATCTGGACAACTCAGTCCCCTTTTGCTAGTTTCACAATACACCGAATGCTTCTGGTACTTTCTCAATTTCTCCAGAAGTTTAAATACAATATCTGGTCTTAAATTTGACAAATCGTGTTGTTCTCTTTTGTCCTCTGTGAGGTGGTACAGTAGTACTAGTTTGTCGGTGTCCGACTTCGGCTCGTTTATGCTCATTTTCCCGATGCTATTGGCAAGTTCCGGCGGCACGGCCCATGAGCTGTCGTACCCTATGAAATATATGAAGGGTTTTGTTAATATATTTGACTTTCATCAGAGGTACATTACTTGGGGTTTGCAACGCGCACAGTAATGTAAGTTGACATCATGTCAAGATCCCATTCAAGTCTCATCTCGTAGATAGCGAGACTGATGCTACGACCTTCTGACATGACATAGGTTTGTAATAAAACAATAAAACATGTATTACCACATTCATAGTGAAAAAATATAATACATCAAAAATGTACAGAAAATATAGTTATCGTAACCCGTCATATCGTGAGCAGCTATTTTGATCCACCTGGACATCCTAGTTACCTCGGGCATGCGCATTCGCATTTTCTGAGTTGGAACGCTTATGTGAGAGCGAGATTGAAACGGGATCTTGGTATCATGTCACCGGAGTTGCAACCCCCAGGTAATGTACCTCTGCTTTCATATATTTATATTAATATTATATTTACATATACCAGTTGAACCAATGCATACACCAAAAGCGGGATGTTACGGATGCATCGAGCGTGCCCAACTACTAATCGTGGAAATATTCGACATGTTGTTGTTTGATGATTGCTGGTGTATTTGTTGTTGTTGCATATCGGGCTTTCAAAATAAACCCAGTGAGTTATTCAAATCTGTTATGTGATTTCCAATCTCAGATGCAGCCAAGGCGTCATCGCTATCTGTATACGAAGCAAATGATGACGTAAAATGATATTTTATGTAAAATCGCGCTCGACCGAAAGGTGCCTCGAACTTTAAAAAACATATTTGAACTCACGTTTTTGACTAGTTACGAGTTTCCAGTCTCCCGCTATAATAGCCGACGTCCTGGTGATGTCAAACATACCATTGTTATACCAAGGATCCAGACCGCGGTAGTTGGTGACGCCGTCAGTTGCGCTGATATGGACAAGGAGTTCTCTTCTGGGTGACAAAGTGCCTTTGCTGAAATGTACATGCTATGTCAGTAGAGATTACATATATACAAATGTAACTCGGATGCCTTTCTACAGCTGTTACAATATCTGCTGGTGGGCTATATTTGTTATTTCCGTTTTTCATAAACACAGCTCTTTTTGCATCTTTGCCAGCCAAGGACCATTTATTCGGCCGAATCCTCAACATTAACTCTTGGCAGATTTCACTACGATTTACGATTATAAGATTCACTTGGGCTCATTTGATTTACCCAATCAGAACTCACGATAGAAACGACATATTACTTGGTAATATCGTGGCGCTAGCTCGCTTGAATATAGAAATCAACGTGTTTCTAGCTTTTTCTCTGTGAACGAGCTTATTGACCATCAAAAGAAAAAAAAAATGAGTGCGGTTTCTAAGGGAAACGATGAAATGAACGGATGACTCAATTTAACTGCAGTGAAATACAGCTTTTCCTAACACGATCACGCGCGGATTCGTGGGCCGGTTATGAATGACTGGCTTTAGCGAAACCGTGCGATTCGTACACAGCTCTTTTTGTATACTAGTATTCTGGTCTTTAGTACATACCTTATAGTGTCCCACACATTAACTCCATCCAGCATGACGTCATCAACCGTTCCACCAGCCAGGTGCGTCAAAGTTGGAAACCAGTCCATTAAATGGACGATGTCTTCACTGATACGTCGAGGGCGTTCTATCAATGGGCTAGTGACAAACGACACAACACGTATGCCTCCCTCGAAAACGCTACCTTTCCCACCTCGTAAAGGCCAATTCCTTCCCCCCGTATGAAACTGGGCTCCATTGTCTGTAAAATATGTATAAACTGGAGTTGTGAGTACATTGGAATAAATAGTTGACATAAAACGTTTCACGTTTTCACATCGCTACATGTAAAGTTATTAAATTACTGGCAAACGAACACACATACAGATCACGACACGCAACACGGAATTCGAACTTGCGATAACACCAGCGCCCCGTCAATGTATGCTCATATTTTGGTTTGTACATGGGACAGGTTTGTGGATTCTCTACCATATCAAATATGTCACAGTCATTTCAAAACACCAAGAATGAAATAATTAATCTTATAGTCTAACTTTGATGGCGGCGTTAGCGCTGTAATAACTTAATGGGCGTATACAACGAGTGTAAAATTGTTCTAGTACGCCCATATTTCATAAACCACGCCCACTTTTACAAAACCACGCCCAAATTGTAACTCGATGTCCAGAACTTCGAGTTATGGGCAACATATGTTTTTATTTTATTTTGTTATTTTTCGGAAAATTACGTCACTGCGCTTGACGTAAAGTTCACGAAGATTCGGAACGAAAAAATAAGTAAACAAAAACTAGAATGGTTACAGACATTTACATAACCGTTGTTGCGTTGAAAACAGTTTGCAAAGGGATTCGTTCCTGCAATAAACGCACTGTAAATCTCTTGAGGGCGTGCTCTTACCTGACACAAATATCAACACTGTATTGTCCCACATTCCCCGTTGCTTCAGAGTTGAAGTAACATTTCCTATTCCTTCATCCATACAGGTTGCCATGGCAGCGTAAGTTTGTCTAGTTGTACTTACACGTGGCCCATCATTGTACATGTCATAATAATGCGGTGGTACTTGCAAAGGTCCGTGAACAGCTTGGTATGACAGGTACATAAACATGGGCTGACAAAAAAATGAAATCGAGCCACACCAGTTACATCGTAAACTTTACAATCATCACAAAATCATTCATTCATCATCATGAATATTATAATCCTACCTGCCAGGATATTTAATCACATACCTTCGAGGATTGTGTTAATGAACAGTACTAACAAGTAATTAAAAGCGCATGCGCATCTTGTTATTTTACTTAGTATGTGAATAGATCTATTTTTACCTCCATGTTTCACCAAATGAAACTTACGATTCTAAGTAATGTGTGTGTAATTACTATATCTATCGAACAACCACACTAAAATACTAAACAGTCATCAGAGCCACATGCTCAATATTTTAAACGCCATAATATTTCTCGCCAAAATTGCGTGAATGGTGAGTTGAGTTTGGCGATTAAAGGGTTAATTATTAGTACATGTGCGACATGGGGGATCGCCGTGCAAATTTAGGGAAAAACAATTAGCGAAATTAGCAAATCGTTTTGTCCGTTTCATTAATTGCATATCTTACTAGAAACTTGAGGATACCACGAGGTATTGAACAATTGAGCTACTTTTAGTTTATAAGTAAGTAAACTGTTATATTGTCAATTTCTGCGTAGTATTACTGTTGGTTTTTTCCAACTTGAACAATAAAAAAAAAACATATTTACAGTGAGCAACAATTGTTCAATGTGAATATTTTTACTGTAGAAAAGGTAATATTATATGGACATTTCAAATATGTACGAAAGATGAGTGGGATAATTCACCTGATTGATATCATGGTTTTTAATAATATCCTGAGCCTCCTTCGTGAATAAGTGTGTTGAATACTGTCCTTTATAGTCATCAGCTACTTCATCATGGTTTCTCCAAAAATCGTGACAGTTAGCTCCGGCGGGAGTATAGTGAGTAAAGTAGTCTTCAATTGCACTCAGATAGCCTGAAATCACAGATAGGATATCAAAAAACACACTGCACTACAACTTTTGCACCTATAAGTAGCGCCCTCTGGCGACAAAGAGCTTCCTTGACAACGAAATGACATGGATTGCGAGCAACGTCCCTCAGACATACTGCCAATGACAACAGATAGGAGATTGTCTTCGATGGAACTCTGTCTGTAATAGTCGTTTGTTTAAAGGGCGGTGGTCGTCGCGCCACGCATGCGTGATATAAATGGGTCTTAAATAAACAAAGATGGCAACTTTGACTGTTGCCCAGATCAAGACGTTACCAAGCTTTGAATAGGTAATATGAAGGTAACGAAGGAGTCGCCGACGATAATTAGTGCAAGTCGCGCCCAGGTCCAACCTCATACTTGTGATTTCCATTAGAAGAGCGCATTAGATTGTGGGGGAATTTCGCACATGCGCAGCGCGACGACCACCACCCTTTAACATTGAAGTGCAACATGACCGAAAACCTACATTTTAAAAGTAAACATGCCTTTTGTAACATACACAACAGTATTCTTTGGATGATGAATGTAAACTACTAGCACGTATACAGGATTGTACGCGCCAGAACAATCTGTGCGCATGCGTTTGGAAAAAATAATCAAACGAATACCCAGTTGCGTGTTACAAGAATCACGTGCTTAGTTCATGATTGCACCGTAATCTAATGAATTGATCGGCATACTATAACTTATAGGTGCTTGCATATTTAAGAACTAATGATTGTATTTTCCATGTTTAGTTAAGTATAGCATTTGCATTTATCGGGGAAATAAAAAAGGTAACGTCAAGTTGGGATCAATCAATCGGTGGTTCCCAGCGCTGGCTCCAGCTGATAACAATTTATTCGATCAAAGTGTCTGAAAACAACCCCAATTATGGAGCAAGACAGTATCGACGCTGAGAACGGCATCACTACAGTCAGTTGACTGGCGTACACATGTGATAAAATAAATGCGATGTATTTACAGATATTTATATCGTTATATTGATCATATTGAGTATGAATTTCATTTAGTAATGGAATGTCATCAATATAAAACCACCGCAAAAAACTGTCCACGTTTGCTGAAACTGTGATCTATTATTTTGACAGCCAGTGAACGAACAGTTCATCATATTACTCAGTGACGAACACACGTGCATTCAAGTGTCAAGTCAAAAACTAAGCTATTTCGTTGATTTCACTCTCATTTTGTGAGTGCATCAGTTGTTCTATTTATTTTGGGTGCATGTATTATTTTTTATTTCTGTCATTTGTTTTTGTAATCATTTCCGTTCCTCTGTGGAATGTGTAATAAGTAAATAATAATGCGTAATAGGTGAATAAATAAATAAATAAAATAGGGGGCCGCCATTGTGAATACTGCTCGAATCTACAATAAAGAGACTTTATTATAGATTCAAGCCGGATTCAATATGGTTCCCATATAGTAAATATCGATATATGAATCGCATTTATTTTTCATTTTCCATTTGTACTCTAGTTGACTGTATGCATCATTGCGCAACGCAGTAAGAGCTTCAAGACGGTTCCATACATACCAAAAAACGTGTCAAATCCTTTTGCATTTGGCAGACACTCCCATCTGATATTGCCGAGATGCCATTTACCAATCATATGAGTGGCATATCCATTCTCTTTTAACTTCATCGGCATCGTTATTGTATCAGGGTGCATACATAGTTGGGATCGTTTGCCGTCTTTGCATCGATAGTCAAATCCCGTGTGAATCTAGAAATAGTGAAGTAAATATGTGAATGAGCACTGAGCGTGTCAGTTCGGAGAAATCGTTTCAAAACGTATATAAGTGGACTCTACTAAATTGTAGGGACTATCATAAAAACCATAATTCGATTTTTAAACATTATGATGCCAGTAATAAAACATAGGGTCATGTAATCAGAGATATGATTTGGCAAAGAGTAACACGTTGTTTGAAAATATCGAGAAATATCGTTTGAAAGGCTCACGTGAGTCACATATTTTGGCCGATTCTTTTAATACAGGTTGTTACAATAAATACCAAACCGTTTGTTGCAGCTGTAATAAAATGTTTCCACGAACGTCACCCCCACCCCCACCCCACCCCAAAATGGAATGTACATGAACACAAACATGACACATATTCGGCATACGTCCAATCCCCTTGTACAAAGAGCGCGTTTTTTTTCAAACAAATACAAAGTTTTAACTTTTAAATCAAACAATATCAACATTTCATATATTATCGTCATATTATAAATTTTTCTATTACAGACTATTAAATAGTTATGAATAATTAATATTAGAGTTGTGATTAGTATCCATCTATTAAAATTCCAGCCTAGTAACCAACGTGTATTTATTCTGTTGTGACCAATGTTGCTACCCGGTGTACGCTACGGTCTATTGTTATACGTACGTAGTAGTACACCAGCTGTGATGCCCTATTCAGATCGATACTACATATATAGTGTCCATTTGTTCCGCATCAAACAATTCTGTGGGTTAATCCTCTATTTAGAACAGACAACACGAGTCGATGGCACGGCAGCTATCCCATCCATCAATCGCATAGGTAGGTTATTATATGATGAGATAATTTGGATGTCAGTTTTCGCTTTTGTGTTAGTGAAAAAACGCTTTGTTATATCGAGAAAATATGCTTGTAATACGTGTTTTTACGGGATGCTACTGCTAGAGCGCTGGAACCCGTTTCGTATATTTACATCTTGGCCATGAATATCATTCGTAAAATCGGTTACCTGATATCTACCCATCATAAGGCAGCTTCTTGAAGGCATGCACGATGGCTGGGCATAATGTCGTTCTAATTTCACTCCTTCTGCCGCCAACTTGTCGATATTCGGTGTTTTGACGATCGAGCCGTTGCGATATCCAACATCAAAATATCCCAAATCGTCAGCTAATATAAAAACAATATGAGGACGCTGTGCAGTCCTGGCAAGATCGAAATTTGTCATCAATGAAATTAGCGTCAGAATAATAACAAACAGATCCATGATGGATGAATTGAAACTAAGCTCTTTGTACCTCTGTTGTTGTGGTATACGAGCGTCACTCCGCGCATGTACACTATAAACTGCTGTGACTGAGATTGTTTAGGTTTATATGCATATACACGTGCATCATTGGTCTGATATTTCAATGTTCCACGTCTATGTCCAAAACGTGAGTATATTACCCCCAACCGGAATCTCCAGCTTTGCCAATATAAAATTTCCTCCAAATTCGCTGAAACTGACGGTGCTAGACAATGAACTTGAAACAAATCTCAACTGAAAATTCAGTCACAATCATGCCACTCGAGAGTTTGTTTACATTGTGCATATTCTAGCGCATATAGAATGCTATTTCGACATTTTTCTCATTAAAAAACAAAACAAAAACATTTCTAATACTTCTAGGCTCAAAAAGGGCCTTGTAAAACAAGTATAGTATATATTTTTTCACTATATGTCCCCGAGTAGTTATTTTGAGATATTGAAATATATCCTTGCCATGGAAAGCAGTGGTAAAATGCACTGTATTCACTGTATTTTGTTATTTTTAGTATATGACTCCATATTTTTATTTCATTTTCTTAATTATGATATATCAATTATGTAAAAATAAATTAAATGACAATATTTATACTTTTGTGTAGCATTCTACTTCAATTGAGGTGCGCCAGTAAACTTTCCCTTTGAAAGTCAATTTCTACCGATAAAAAGGATATCGAATACAATATTATATGAAGTAAGTTTTACTTAGTCCTTTTCGCGCGACCCCGCTACGAAAATACTAATGCGAGTTGCAGTATCACGTGGTATTTATGGACGACGACGTCATACAATTGACCATTTTCCGTTCACTGCGAGAATCACGCGTTATGCGTGAAATCGAACGCAAAAACTGGACAAACAAAGGCATTGACGCTGCAGGTCGACGTCTTCTACACCGATCTGACGCATATCGCGCAAGGTGTACCGGGAGTTTGTTCGAAATTTCGAACGTTTCGAGGTCAGTCGTCGATTGCCACGTATTTTACGGATATATTAAATCGTTTGAGGGGCCTGTTTACTAAATAATGATAAATGAAACTTAGAAACGTTCTATTTTCGAACTAGTTGAAACCAGAAATAACGCAACTACTTTCGAACTTTAAACACAAATTTGATTATTGTTATTATGTGTTAGTTTCTGTTGTTTCAAAGATTGAATTATGTATGACAATAATATTTCACTCTATAAACAATATTTCACTAAAATATGTGATTCAAAGGCAACCCAAATTGTAAAAAGCAATATCAAGTTCCGCGTATAAACACTGTTGTAAAGAGGCGGCGGAGCGGAATTTTAGCCAAAATCGGCTAGTAAGGCGTCATATGACTCAGGTTTGTGCTGGGACAGCGCTTCCGGTGACGACACAACGCAAACAAAGATCATAGCGTCGTAGTGGCGTCAAACATCGCGTGGGATTCGACAAACGCGAAAGTATTTTGGGGATATTCCCATGCTTAATAATGTGCTGTACACAAGTTGATGATGGTCAATTTCGATTAAGTGGGGTATTCGAAAGCAATATTCCTCTGTCGAAGATCGGCCGGTCGATGTGAGCTACGAAATAAAGAAATTCGAGTTCATAATCAAATCGTTCGATTTTTGTGGCAGACGTTCGACGCGCGTCTTTCATGCAACTCGCGAGATCTCGCAGTTGAACGGAAAATCACCTATTTCAGCTGCTGTCTCGTTCGTAGCAAGGTTTGCAATTAATCCCTCTCAAAATATCTATATAGTTCATCTGTTTGAATGATGTGAATCACGTCATGTAATGTTAAATAAATATGGCTTGGCACACGTCTATTATATGGAAAACTACCTTTACAAACAATTTTCAATCCGCATCTTAAACGTACGCGCATGAAATGGGTATATTTGGAACATTCCTTAAAAATGAATAAATTCACTATGAACATGTGTTAGATCGCCTTATAATATGTGACCACGGGATAGATACCGGTAATTCCACTGTTACATTGACATACCTTAAATGCTCATTTTATACATGTCTCCGAAAAACTGCTTAGTTGTGAATAAGAATTTAGTTAGGAAAAAGAGCTACAGTTCTCGTACCCAATATGTGGGTTATCATGCGGCGTATACAACGCTTATCAAATGTAATCCTCGGGGGCGAGCTACGTCACCAGACGTTCCACGTTGCTAAAACGGCACCACTGTACCACGTATTTCTACAATCTCCTTCCCATAGGTCTTTGCGCTTTACGCAATAGTACCTCTGCCACAGGCAGCCTTCAATTTTGTGGTCAATCACCTCACTACGCACGGCAATTTTGCCGCGGCTGTTTCATTTGAAACCGAACTACAAAAAAGCGGGAAAAAACGTTTGTGACATCCGAACTATTTATCAATGTCAGACTTCAGTAAAAACGTAAATACGAACCATTTTATCGCGGACTATGTTTTGCAAGGTAATGTTACTGTAGTGAAATGGCGCACGTGATACACTAAAACTGGAAAGAAAAAACGTTCTGTTAACGTATATAGTTGGGAAAGAAACATTAAACATCAATTTCACTGAAAGGGGCTTCCGTTCATCTTGTATTCTGGTGAATATTTCAATACGGTAACTATTTATGGCTTGAACGGGTTCGATTTTCCGCGGCTAACAGCCAAAGAACACAAAGGTTCTAGTAAGCTTATAAAGTTAGTCATTTATGCTTTGGTTTCCATGAAAGGATTGCACTTTTCTAATGCAAGTAATGTATATTTTAATCTAAATAACTGAACATTTTATTCGGAGTCATGACGCGAAACGTATTATTAAAGTGACTAAAGTAACCAGGGTGACTTTCTCATAACTTTGTTAACCGACAGGGTCTTGTAGTTCGAACATATTCGAATATGCAAATGAGTCATATACAAAGCTGCTTTGTGCAGGGATCGATAAGTAACGCGTATCGAACTGTGCGGAGTTCGGTATTTCTATTGGCTGTGCGCACGCTGCTGAGGAACACAGAACGCCGACCGTGGCGCTTTTGTCGTGTTTGAAATGAGTCTCATGCGACTTAATACAACGTGTGTAGAATACGTGAAATTTACTCATTGTAAATGACTAACAATAGTTTATTAAAAATTATTATTATTATTGTAATGGCTGACCGGATTAATGTGATCTGTTAAAAACAGGCATTCCGAATGTAATATTTTGTATTACCCTGTTAAATTTTCTGTCTATAGATACTCTTACAGTTTACAGTTTTGATTAGAAGTTTCCCATTTGAAATCTGGAGCCTAGAGGATTTTTTCAAAGATATTACTTTCATTGCATTTTTTAACCTCTTTTTATGCAGTCGCAATGGAAATTTTGTTTTCTGAGCTCATGACAAATTTTATCTAGTCCTCGGATTTCAAATGGGTAACCTCTTAAAACATTAAACGAGTAAATGTATAACCAAGGTCATTTTGTTTATTCTCTTTTTTCATAACATGTTACCACAATCTTCTTGAAATTGTATGAACTGGATCAAAAACAAATACACGTGCCTAAAAAGAGTATTTGCCCGGCCAATTTGTCTCGACGGAACTAGTAAAATCATTCAATCGACAAATAAGTGGTTCACTGCAAAATGTAATTCAAACTTCTTACCTTTTCGTATAAACACAACGTCACGCTTTTGCCGCATTTTTTTTTTACAATAAATTAACTGTTCCCTGTGAGTATTATAAGGAGCAATGGCAGTTCAAATATGACCTGAAATTCATCTTTGACAGGCCAACTGATAAGAATAATAAGAATTGCCGTTGAATTCAATGTATCAATGCTTTGCATAGAAATTTATTTCATTTAATCGATATTTTGCATAACTGAATAACTCCCACTGTTTAGATTTCGAAAAGCTTGGTCATGTGACTTCACGCTGACTGACGGTTATGCAAGACGCAATTCATGCAGAATGGAAATAGGAAAATGAAAAATTGAAGCTATCATAAAACAAATTTCATAAATGTTATTATCGTACTCAAAATGTAAAATAGGAAGTTATGAATAATTATAAAAAAAATAAGCAAATCGCTAACGAAGACAAAATACTGACAAATACGTGACCACTTTTCATATTTCGTTCGTGATTTTTAGAAACGCCAGGGATGATTCTAGACGCGTGATTCTAGATGATTCTAGTGTCTAGTGTCTAATTTGCTGAACACGTTCACAGCTATATATGTCACCTTAAGGTTGAGCGTAATCATAACTTTTGAGAAAGTTGTCATAAATCGCATAACAATGTTCATTGGTTGGTTTATTGTGTAAAATCATGAAGTCATTGTCTCGTGGTATCAAGAAATATGATTCTTTAGTGTGTTACAATGTATTTTGAGAAAATGGATAATTTTAGAACAATTACATAGAACACAACGTTGAAGAAAAATTGCATTTCTGGACAATTTGTAAAACCCAGTTATTTTCAAATAATTTAGGACAACAATAAGTATCCCGTCATTAATAATATATGATTTTTTAGCCAGGCTACAATTCCAGTTATGACATAATATCTCTGCCATAAAATCATGGTAAAAGAGTTATAATACTATCAAAATGGCCACTGTCAACTAAAATACAGCCATAATCTTCTCGAAAATTAAGCTGGCGGACGACAACGGTTTTTAAGTCAATATCTTTATAATGCCAAGAAATACAATTTATTGGAAATATAATTCTGGGTATTTGTATTCACACAAAAGAAATACGTAGAACA